TTTGCCAGCTCCTTCAGGACCCACGGATGGATTTCATCAGGTCTCATGGACTTGTGCACATTCAAATTTTTAAGATGGTCTCCAACCAGATCCTCTCCTACAGTGGGCCCAAGGTCTTCATTCTCACAGTCCCTGCATTTGCCTTCCAAGACTTGGGTGATGTGGTCAGAGCCTTTGCCAGTGAAGACTGAGGCAAAGAAGTCATTGAGAACCTCAGCCTTCTCCAAATCCTGTGTAGCCAGTTCTCCCGAGAGCTTCCTGAGGGGACCTATGTTGTCGCTAGTCTGTTTTTTATTTGCTATGTACCTGTAGAATCCCTTCCTGTTATCTTTAATACCTCCAGCTAAGTTTAATTCTATCTGAGCCTTAGCTTTCCTAGCCTGGTCCCTAGCTTCTTGGACAACATCCCTGTACTCTTCCCATGCCACCTGTCCTTGCTTCCACCTTTTATAAGACTCTTTTTTCAATTGAATTTTCCTCAGCAGCTCCTTATCCATCCAAGGAGGTCTCCTGGCCCTCCTGCTGCACTTCCTTCAGGTTGGGATGCAACACTCCTGAGCTGGCAGCAGGTGATCCTTGAATATCAACCAACAGTCTTGGGCCCCTCTGCCCTCTACAGCTGTATCCCATGGAACCTTCTGAAGAGGTTCCTGAAGAGGCCAAAGGCTGCTCTTTTCAAGTCCAGGGCAGCGAGCTTGCTGCATGCTCTTCTCACTGTGCTGAGGATCTCAAATTCAAGCATCTCATGATCGCTGCATCCAAGGCTGCCCTGGAGCGTCACATTTCCAACGAGCCGTTCCCTGTTGGTGAGCACGAGGTCAAGCATGGCACCTCTCCTTGTTGGCTCCTCTATTATTTGCAGAAGGAAAGTCTAAGGAATGACATGAGGTAAGGAAAAAAGTTCTGGCAAAGATGTCTTTTGTAAAAGGCTGGGAGCACCTGGAGTTCTATGGCTGGCAGATCCTAATATAAGTCAAATGTGTCTGGTTTTGGGGGTGTTATACATGTATTATATATATATGTATGTATAAAAATATATGCCATCTTGCAATACATTTTGTGAGTTGTCAGATTTCAGCAATTTTGAGGGCTGAAGCACTTGTTCCTGTAATAGCAGGAACATAGCACTCAATCGCAATCAGAAATTTTAAGAAATATATCCCAAATATTTTTAATTGTCATAATATTGCAAAGTATGGCAGTGTTGGAACGCTGGTTGCCTCTGAGAGAGATGGCACCTTATCAAAGGCTAGTGGTATTTTCTGAACAGGAATTTGGGGGTTTGGAATATTTTATTCGGAACAACTTTATATCAAGTGTGTTCAAAATTTGAGTTATCAAGTCTATGTCTCTGAAAATGTAATCCCAACTGTAAAATTCAAATAAGATTCTTCTTTTCATTATTTGGTCAGCTGTATAGACTGAGCAGTTATCTAATAGACTGTTGTAGGACACCTCTTACCTTCAGTTCAGGAGCCCATGAGTAGCTCTCTACCTCTATATGCATCATTGGATTTGCCTGTGAGTAAGGGACTGGAATTTAGCAGGAAATATCTTTTGATGGGCAAAAGGAAGAGTGTATTTCCTCTGAGTCCCCTCAGCTCTTTCAGCAGAAATAAGAAGCAGTCAAAACATTATTTTTAGATCAGTTTATGACAATAAATATACAAGAAATTATTTGAAATACACAGTAGGATATTATTTGAGGGCATAAAATATTTAGAGGTTATTTTCAGAATAAATGACAAACAAGAGATGTGCTAATTCTACTACATGAAAACCAACAAGGTGCTTGGTGACAGCCAGCATGGCTTCACTAAGGGGAAATCCTGCCTGACCAATTTGGTGGCCTTCTGTGATGGGGCTACAGAACTGATGGACAGGGGTAGAGCAGTTGACATCATCTACCTGGACTTGTGCTAAGCGTTCCACACTGTCCCACACGACATCCTTGTCTCTAAATTGGACAGACATCAATTTGATGGATGGACCACTCGGTGAATAAAGAACTGGCTGGATGGCCGCACGCAAAGAGTTGTGGTCAGTGACTCAATGTCCAGCTGGAGACCAGTAACGAGTGGTGTCCCTCAGGGATCGGTGTTGGGACCGGTCTTGTTTGACATCTTTGTCACTGACACGGACAGTGGGATTGAGTGCGCCCTCAGCAAGTTTGCCGATGACACCAAGCTGTGTGGTTCGGTTGATACCCTGGAGGGAAGGAATGCCATCCAGAGGGACCTTGACACACTTGTGAGGTGAGCTGATGCCAACCTCATGAAGTTTAACCATGCCAAGTGCAAGGTCCCACACCTGGGTTGGAGCAATCCCAGGCACAGCTACAGGTTGGGCAGAGAAGAGATTCAGAGCAGCCCTGTGGAGAAGGACTTGGGGGTGTTGGTCAATGAGAAAATGAACATGAGCTGGCTCCAGTGTGAGCTCACAGCCCAGAAAGCCAACCGTATCCTGGGCTGCATCAAAAGGAGCGTGACCAGCAGGTCGAAGGAGGTGATCCTGCCCCTCTACTCTGCTCTTGTGAGATCTCACTTGGAGTATTGTGTGCAGTTCTGGTGTCCTCAACATAAAAAGGACATGGAAGTGTTGGAACAAGTCCAGAGAAGGGCCACGAGGATGATCAGGGGACTGGAGAACCTCCCGTATGAAGATAAGCTGAGAAAGTTTGGACGAGAAGGCTGCATGAAGACCTCATAGCAGCCTTTCAGTACAAACCCAGCTCTGTCAGCTTCTTCTCACACAGCAGATGCTCCAAGCCCTCCACCATACTGGAGCATCTAAAGTGAGTTCACCTGCCTCTTGTACTAGGGAACCCAGAACTGGACACAGCATCCCAAGCGTGGTCTCACCAGGCTGAGCAGAGAGGAAGGATCACTTGATCTGCTGGCAATGCTCTGCTTAATGCGGCCAGGATGCTGCTGGCCTTTGCTCCAAGGGCACATTGATGGCTCATGTTAAACTTGTCCACCAGGATCACCAGGTCCTTTTCTTCAAAGCTGCTGAGCAGTCGACTGGGCCACTCAGCCCCTATTGGTGCTGGGATTAAACACCATCAGGTGCAGGAATTCGCATTTCTCTTTGTTCAGCTGCCTGGGGTTCCTGTCAGCCCTTTACTCCAGCCCATCAATGACCCTCTGAATAATGGCACAACCCTCTGCTGTATCAGTCACTCCTTCTTTTGCAGACATGCTGAGGATGCACTCTGTCCCCTCATCCAGTTCCCTAATGAAGATGTTGAACAGGACAGGACACACTATTGATCTCTGGGACTCACTGCTGGTCATTGCCCTCTAGCTGGACTTTGTGCTGCTAATCATGACTCTTTAATCCTGATGGTTGTCAGTTTCAGTCCAGCTCACCTTCCTTCCACTTACCTAGTCCATACTTACTAGTTTGCCTAAGGGGATGTCAAGGGAGAGAGCATCAAAAGTCATATTTAAATCAAAATAAACAATATTCACTGTTCTCCCCTCATCTACCAAGCCAGATATCTTATCACAAAAGGTTGCCAGGTTGGTCAGATGTGATTTCCCCATCATCTTAACTCTGAGCTAATTGTTGGTAGCTATGAATTGATACGGACTTTATTACCTCAGTTTTAGTATTTGGTCTGAAAAGAAAATTGAAGGTATTTGTTTTTTTAGCTTTCTTGTCTAAGCTTTAAGAGACTCTCCACCAGATTCCAGTTTTATTAAGCATGAGGTTAGATGTGATTCAAAACAAAAGTGGAAAGGGTCGTTGAACAATGATGCTAGAAGTCAGTGTTTAATAGTTAATTTGATCATTGTGCAATAAGCATACTCATTCAGTTGGTCTGTGTAGGGAAATACACAGGTCCTTGGAGAAACAGAATCTCATCCCAAGGAATGCATAAGTGAGGGAGAGAGTTGATGTCTGAGTGAGCTACCTTTATTTTGTTATTTCCCACATTGAACAGTCTGCAGCCCTCCCCAGGCAGGTAGGTCAAGGTTTCAGAAAACTTGAACAACTAAATACACTGTTTCTGTGTACAGCTGCTCCTTTGGGTTTGGGTTTTTTTTCACCCCATTTCTTCAGCCACCCTGTGAGTCTGTAGTTTACATTTAACATTTTGGGAAGGACTCCGAGGCTCTGCACAAACATAGGCTGAGAAACTTGCATATGTTCGCAAATTCATAGGGATTTGAAAGAGACAATTTTAAGGAGAACCACTCCCTGCAACTAAAGAACACATCTAAGCCATGTTCCCAGCTCTTCTTCAGCAAAGGAACCAGTTAACTGGCTGCCCAGCCTTTTCTTAGAGACTGTCTCAACTGCTGCTGCTCTTACTGATGCTGAGAATGTACACAGAGAATTTTCTTGTAACTGTTTAATCATGATAAAAAAGATATTTTTAATAGTACCCCCTGAATCAATTAATCAGAATTCTCTTTTGCAGCAGGAGAGAAATAACTCTTACTAAAACTGGAGATCCAAGCTCTCATGTTGATGTCCTGGAGCTGTATTGCACCCATAACTATGCCTGCACAGGCTCAGGGACACTTGATTACATCAGAGCTTGTGTGCAGGCACTCAGGTGAATAATCATGTTTTAAAGCAGACAGTCGTGAACAAGAATGAAAGGGACTGGATGAGGGTTTTTTTTATTGCTAAAGCGAGTGCCAGAATAACTTAAAGAGAAAGCAAAGCAATATTTCTCCTCAAGAGGCATTTCAAGAGGAAACCTGGAAATGTAATTGGAGGTTGTTATTACATTAAGAGCTTGGTTAGTTATTTGAGGAGGGAGGTATTTTAAAAGTCCTTAGGCAATCAAAGCCAGCACCAAATGAGGGCTTTAAAGGTTCTTTCAGTCTGTCACTAGATGTCAGCCTGCACCTTCAGGTCCCTATCATTCTGTATCATCATGCACCTCTCTCCCAGCACACCAACAGGAATATGTAACAGGAGACCAGTCACAAAAAAAAAAAAACAAAAAACAAAACTTAAAGAACTCAGAGACCATTGGATCATATGCTTCAGCAGTGTTTATTTTACTCCACGAAAAGGTGATTGTTACAAATGAAGACAAGAAAAACTGGAGGAAACAGAACTGGTTTTGAAGTATGTTGCACTGGTTATTTAGGAAACCCCTGATTTCCTAAATTGTTGCTGATGTGTAGTCTCAAAGAAAGACCCTTTGCTCAGGCCCCACACCTGATGCTGTGTGCACACTCAGAGCAACTGCCCTTTTCTTGCAGTGCCCCAGCTGGTGCCCCTGCCCATGCAATACAGAGCCCAGATTTCATGCTCTGATAGCTGGGACTCAAAATTCCCTCTGCTCATGCACAGCCAAAGCAGTGCTCTTTGGCTACATTGGTCGCACACTGACTGCACAGCCAGAGATGCTGCTCTGGACTAAACCAACGGTTGGCCAACTGTGGGTGGGTTGTGCCCCTTCAAACAGCCCATTCACAACGTACACCTGATGGACCAGTGGCTTGAGAGAGACTCGCCATCTAAATCCATGGTCTAGAAGCCCAAGGTATTTCCTATTGGGTGATTTGCAAAACATAAGGGCTTTATGCCTTTAGTGATCAGATACCTGGGCCTTTCTCTGAGCATAGTATCTTGCTAGTATTCTGGGCTAACTATGAGTTTTACTGAACATAGTCTGTTTCACTGTGTTGTTTTGCTGGCACAAAATAATGTCTACATTAACATCCACAAGAGCATATAGGCTTTGTCATGCTGAGCACCACAGAGGATGTCTTTTAGGCAGTTTACTATTTACTGAAATTCATAGTTACACTTTAGACACCTAGATAACTTTCTGTATAGTGCACAAGGACATTTAAGCATCAGGATAAGGATTAAAATTCCAGCAAGCCAAGCAAGAAACTATGCTGTTCAAAAGCAAATACAAAGAAGAGAGTCTGGCTTTGAGATTCAGCCCCTGTTCTTAAATTAGATACTTTCTCATCACCTATAGAACCATTGTTAGACCTCTCTGAACTCTGGAGTTAGGTGTTCATGGTATTCTTTTCTCACACAAGAGTGTAGCCTTCTTCATCTGCTAGCACAGGCATTAGGGCTTCCTCCAGAAATATGAGACCCAAATGCATTCCCTGCAAATCTTTTGACACATTAGGCCACTAGACTTAGAGGTCTAGAAAGCTCTCAGCTCCTGCATAGCATATGGAAACTTTAATGGAACCAGGACCTAGGAGAAAGTTAATTATTGTACTTTGAAAGGGCAGACCTAAAATCCAGACCTGGATCCACTCTTCTGCATTTATAAGGAAAAAAAAAATCTTGGCACTTCCTCTGTGAGGCTCACACTCTAACCACTATGCTGTAGAGTATTCAAGGGCTTGCTTTCCCTTCATGATCCAGCAATGGTGAGCAACTCATGCAACAGGGAACTGTTTCAAGCCAGAGGATTCAAGCACATTCACGAAGTAACCCTGATATTCAGCCATTCCCCAGGGATGTAGAATGGGAAAGCTGAGACTTATAGCTGGTGGGCAAAAGCTCTGCCCACTTATTTAATGTTTCAAAAGGGAAGAGGAAGGAGCACAATTTACACATGCACTGAAGGTGGGACAGGAGAAGCATAACCAGGCACAGAAGCAAAGGGATGGGGGGAATGAGTTAAGATTACAGCTGCTTCTAACTTAGTGTGGCCTGACACAGGGTGTACCATGTTGGCATGCAGAGATGCCTCTCTCACCTAAACACCATGGCCAGGCCCAACAGAGATCCCCATGAAGCAGAGTGAGAAATGCTACAGACTTAAGCAGATTTAGGCATGCTCAAGAACAGACTTCTAGGCACAAAATATTTTACTAGAAAAAACTTCAAATACCTACAGACTTCAACTGGCAGAACAACTTCAACAAGTCAGGACTTAGGAACTTGGTAATCATACAGTTTTAGAAGCTCAAGTTCTTCTGTGGATATATCAGATTTCTTCAGTCTTCGCATCTGTGTAAGTATGTCCATCAGCTGCCAGCTCACTTCTGCTGTTCTCCAGACACCTTGCAAATCACTATCTTCGCAGTTAGCGATGGATCCAAGTCTCTAGTAGAAGTCTCTTCTGCCTTGAAAAAAACAGAACAACAGCTTCTCCTTTCAAATAGCAGAACCAGCTGCTTTGAGACCAAACCCAAATTTCACAACAGGAGTTACTGACATGTACAGTAACACAATCTGCAAAGCATAGTTGCCACTAATGGCACTGCAATTTTCTCTGGACAGAAACAGCAACTTTGTTCCACATCAGTACTTAGAGGTGACAAAAAACCCTCTGCAGAAGGTTTTTTTTCCTCCTCTGTAGAAATGCTTTTTTAGCTGGGTCAGGCAGATGTTGGCATTAGGCTGCAGGGAAAGAGGCTAGAAATAGGGGTTTGAATACAGTATTTATATATTCATCCTATATGCAGTACTGGGGATTAAGAAACTTGTATTTTGACAAAAGCTGCATTTTTCTATCTTTTAAAATAAATATTTTAACATTTCAATTTTTTTCTCATAATTTAAATATTTTTTAAAGCAAATCTATAACCTTATGATTAAAACTTTCACAGCTTAAAATTACACTTTTTTCATGCCCTTATAAAGTCCATTTCAGACCAACCTCAAATTATTTCCTAGATCTTTCTAGGAACACAGGCTGGGACAGGCATTATCCCTGCCCTTCTACAGGGTGTGAGAGCACTGAATGGCAGGCTCCAGGGCTGCTCATACCAGAGTAATTGAAACAGAGTTAATTGAAACACTGGCAAGTATCAGCGCAGACCCTTGACAACCACTTCTGCAGAACAAAAACCTTTTGTGATTGCTTGAGCTGAACCAGAATTGAGCAAGCAGCTTGAAATGGCTACAATTTGTACCTTCTTCCTTTTTGTTTTATGTGCAGTTGTGTTGATTTCCTGGAGCGGGATACCAAGTCTGAAGCACAGCAAGAACAAATCCTGCAGCGTCAGGACCCTAGGAGAGGTGCCTGCCTTGCTGCACATGGTTTGGGGATGCAAATTTAGCCCCCCCCCCCCCCCCCCCCCCCCAGCAGCCTGGAGAGAGCTGGGCAACAGAATGTCAGGGGGCTCACATGCTCCCCTCCAAACCCAGCCAAGCAACACCTCTCCATGAAGCTGCAAGTCCTGTCCTTGGGTTTCTCCTTGGCTTTCTGGGTTGCTCAACACTCTGGTAGAAGCAGAGGGGACAGGGGGAGCTGGAAAAGCAAATTTGACTCAGCTCTGGGGGGAGCACAGTGCTCCTTGTCCCCTCTCTTTTCTAAGTCCCTAAAAGAGGGGAAAAGGCCAAGCCTAATCAAGCAGGAGCCTTGTACCCACTTGTCCTGACTGTTCCTATCAGGGCAGGTGTGAAATAGAATGCAGGCTGCCTGATCTCTGTGCCCACACTGGCGCCCTGAGAGCTCCAAGCTGGCATCATTTACAATGCTACACAGCAGTGAGAAAGCAACCCAACCCTCCCACCTCAAACACACATGCACAGGGGCAGGAGGGCTGCTGTTCTCCTGCTGCTTGCACCTTCAGGCTGGGGGGACACAGTCAAAGCCACCCAGCCCCTTTCCTCCCTTACACATCCTCATCCTCCCTGGATGGAACCCTGCCACCCTCTCCATTGCCTGTTCCCAAGAACAGCTACAAGCACTAAAAGCTCCTAGAGACACTCCAACCCACCCTGCCTCCTTCTACTCCTGTTCCCTACTCTGAGAAACTTTTTCAAGAAAATATTTTTCATCAGCAAGCTTCCAAGAGCAGAGACAACCCCAAAAGAGCATGTCTCAGACAGAAGCCCTCCATTACCCATCTCTCCTCCCCTCGACCCTATCACGCATTCAATATCCCAGGGTCACATCTTACACAAACCCCACAGTCCCACCCCCAAAAGCCCCCTGCCCATCTCAGCAGTGCTGCTCCGCGGAGCTAGCGGGCAGCAGGTCATGGCGGCTGCTGTACATCACCACCCCAGGTGGGTAGTAGACTACCTCCGGCTGGATGGTTGCATGAGGGCAAGAAGTAGCGACAGGCTGGACAGGCTGGTCAGGCACCAGGGCATGCAGGACCTGCTCCTCCTGCTCGGGTTTGGTGGTGTTGGTGAAAGGACGCATGGTGGTAAGGGAAGGTGAGGTGATTCTCCAGAGGAGGCTCTTCAGTGAGCTGCGAAACTCCCTGCGCATGAGGCAGTAGAGGATGGGATTGAGGCAGCTGTTGGAGTGTGCCAGGCACACGCTGATGGGGAAGAAGTACACTTGGGAGAGGAAATACTCAGTACTGAAGTTCACCACGTTGAGTTTGATGAGGATGCCCCATGTTGTGAGCGCTTGATTAGGCAGCCAACACAAGAAGAAAGCCAGCACAACGATGGACACTGACCTAGTCACTTTGGCACGGCGCTTGGAACCGAGGCCGCTGCACTTGCTGCCAACATGTTTCTCATTGATGAAGCGTACCAGGAGCAAGTAGCAGAGGCTGATGATTATCAGTGGCACCACAAAGCCCAGCAGCACCTTCTGGATGTGGTACATACCCAGCCAGAACTGGGCATTGCTGCCTCGGCCTTCGGGGAACTTGACAAGACAGAGCACATCATCAAAGACAGTGGCAGTGGTGGAAAAAATGGCATGGGGCAGGGAAGCCAGGATAGCCAACAGCCAGATGAGTACACAAAGCCACTTGGCAGAGCAGCAGCCACCCAGTGGGTCACCTCTCTGGTGATTCTTCAAGGCTGTAGACACAGAGTGGTATCGAGCTATACTCATGGCAGTGAGAAAAAAGACACTGGCATACATATTCATGGCTGTCACATAGGAGACAATCTTACACATTGCCTTACCGAAGAGCCAGTTGAAATCCAATGCATTCTCCACTGCCCAGAACGGCAATGTCAGCACAAACTGGAAGTCGGTCACTGCCAGGCTGGTTACAAAGAGGTTAATGGGGGACTTTCTCCAGCCTTGCTTGATTTTCATCAGGTAGAGGACCAGCAGGTTGCCCACCAGCCCCAGCGCACATACCACAGAGTACACCAGCGAGATGACAATCCGCACCACATCGGAGCTGTCCCCTTGCACCCCATCAGCTCGCTCCAGGTTGGTGTTCTTGAAGAACTGCAGGAAGGACATATTGCTCCCGTTGCCCATCTGGGAATCCTCCAGGAAATCCAGCGGCACGTTCCAGGATTCCCAATCCGCTACGTCCTTCACGCCGACAGCAGGTGAGCAGTCACTGCTCTCACAAGGGTCTCCCATCCCATACCAGGGAGGGCGGCGGGTCCAGGGGAGGTTTTCTTCAGACCCGCGAGCTAGCAGCGGGAGGCAGTCTCTGGGGGAAGCAGTCTCTCCTGGAGGCAGTCTCTGCGGGGACACCGACTGCGTCTCTTCGGCCCGGCAGACCGGCACCGATCCCGCTGCTCGCCGCGTTTATATAGGCGCCGGCGGAGCGGAGCATGCGCGGTGAGCGGGGAGCTCTCCCGGGTGCTGAGAGCGGGCGGCCGTGACCCCGCCCACCCGCCCCCGCGGGACCCACATCGGGTCCGTTCGCACTGCTCACCGCCGTCCCGATCCTCCCGTCCGCCCCCTCGGGACCAGCACCGGGTCCGTCCCCATTGCCCGCTGCCGCCCCTTTCAGCCCGTCCGGCCCCGGGGAACCAGCACAGGGTCCGTCCCCGCTGCTCATCACCGCCCCGTTTCTCCCTCCCAGGGTTCGTCCCCTTTCCCCACTGCCGTCACATTCTGCCTTCATCGGGTGCGTCCCCGTTGCTCACCGCCGTCCCGTTCCGCCCGTCCCGCCCCGTGGGACCCGCATAGTTTCCGTTACCGCTGCTCACCGCCGCTCCGTTCCGCCCTCCCGGCCCAGTGGGAACCGCATCGGGTCAGTTCCTGCTGCTCACCTACGCCCCGTTCTGCCCGTCATGCCCCGCGGGACCCGCACAAGGTCCGTCCTCGCTGCTCACCTCCGCCCCGTTCTGCCCGTCCTGCCCCGCGGGACCCTCACCGGGTCCATCCCCGCTGCTCCCCGCAGCCCTGGACCTCCCGCCGGGAGCCGTGCATGCTAACCGAGAGGGCGGCGCGGTTCCGCAGGCACGGGTTGGCCGCTGCCCTGTCGCAGAAGATCCCCTGCCGTTCCCGGGCAGTGCTGCGGACGTAGCTCCCGAAACACCCCTGCCTCAGAAACCTCGACGCCAACCCTAGGAGTGCTTGTTTATCCCCAGAAAACCACATTCCGGACAGGGACCAACACCTTTCCTTCTTTCGGGACATCGGGAGACGGTGGCTATTCCTAATTTTAAAATGAACGGCAAGGACACCAAAGCTATAAAGTTTTGCTAGGCGGGCAACAAGGACGGCGGGCAGAAGCCGCTTCCCCGGGATGCAGAAGGGCAGGCATAAGTCCCGGCCACCCCATGCCCGCCCGCAGGGGGCCCCGGAGCGCCGGCGAGCGGCCGGCATCTTCCGGGGGAGCTCGGCAGCGACTGCCCGCCGGGTCCCTGTCCTGCGCGGCTCCCAAAACTCGCCTTCCGGCCAAGCTTGTGGCAGGCACAAAAAGCAAGAGGTAGGAATAGAAACCGAGGCTTTCCTTCCTCCATTCTGCTTTTAAACAAATCGACACAAGCGTGCAGTTTGAAAACTAAGTAGATTCTAAATACACCCAAATCGAACACTGTGAATCAGCCGTCTGGGGCAGACTCTTCACTCTGAGGGTGGTAAGACACTGGTACATGTTGCCAAGAGAAGCTGCGGCTGCCCCATGCCTGGCAGTGTTCAAGGCCAGGCTGGACGGGGCTTAGAGCACCCTGCTCTAGTGGAAGGTGTCCCTGCCCATGACAGGGGGCTGGAAGCAGATGATGTGTCAGGTCCCTTCCTACCCAATCATTCTGTGATTCTATGATCCAGATTTAACAAGTAAATTATTTCTCCATAATCTTTAAACTGATTAATCCTACTAAAATTCCTCCAAAGGCAACCCCATGTGTGCTGTTTGTTGCCAGCAGCATGGTCATTGCTTTAGTTTATACCTACAGAGACCCTATGAAAGTATCACCCATATTTTGGGAGAGCTAAAGGCTGAATGGAACAAGACTCATTAGGAAGTTTTGTACATCATATTGCATACAATGAGGGTACAACTTACTGGAATTAGCAGTACAGTGCTCTGGGAAGGTTTAGTCTCCAAATTACTTGCTACACTAAATACACTGGTACTAGAACAAAACAAAACAAAAAAAGTGCCTTCAAAAGACTGACTATTGCAGGACTTGAAAAATGGACTCCTGGCATTTCTTTCCCACTCCCTCCAAATTGCAGTTTTTTTCTAGCTTCCATATCTCTTAATTACTGACTAGGGTGGCATTCAGGCAGTGTTTTCAATAGCAGGGCTTTAAGTTAGCCTGCTGGATGGCAACAGTTTCTCAAATTCTCTTGTCCAAAGCAAAACATCCTTGCAGTGAACCCTGACAACCCTATCAGCCCCACCGATGTTTCACAGTCCCATGTGAAACAGCACAGGCAGGAGAGAAAGCCAAGAATCTTTCAACACCAGTAGTGCAACAACCACATACACAAGCAAAGGGAAAATACCAAGTTTTTATCAGAACCACACCACTGCCAAGGTTCTGCAGACAATACAGGAGGTGAAGTGTCCGCCGGCCCTCAGCAGCACCAGGGGCCTTAGCAGTAGTGTCAACACATATCCAAAACTAAAGTTAGTAAAATATTTGAAATAGACGAGTTCTTGTTCAGTTTTCCCCCCTCTACATAGTCCTTCCACTATTAGCTCACAAGAAAAAAATCATCAGTAACTGAGCCTTGCAGAGACTATGACATACTCACTTGGTAAATCATTAGCAGGATGGACACTGCAGAAGCGGATTTCTTCCAGATTGAATTCTACCCTATCCTGATCACACTGCTGCCTACATGCCCAATTTTAAGTATCTCACCGGAAAAATTGCAGAAACCCTGTCTTGCACAAAATAATTTCTTCTACCATTTGAATATTTCCCTTCTCAGGAGAACATCTTGTCAATGTATTGCAGAGGCTGAACAGTAGTAAAGAATCAGAAAGGGGAGGGGGATGGAAATCATGTCTGAAGGTATGTTGCTTTTTTTTGTTTGCCACTCAGAGAAAGCAATAGAGTGTGAACTGAGGTACCTCACAGAATACTGGCAGTGGCTTCTGAACTCAGGCTGCAAGTGTGAAAGTTTTTTGCTCATATTCTGACCATCAGATAAATTCCTTTTCAGTCTTGGGTTTGTCTTTTTTTGTTGTTTTTTGGTTTTTTTCATCATTCTTCATCTCAGAGAAGACGTTTTAGAGGAAGGTAAGGAACCTTCTACACCTAGATGAATAATAATACTTACAGAATAATTTATTCATTACACCACCAACTCTCCGGTAGCCAGAAAAAAAATGTCAAGAAAAGTAACAGCTGTTTTCAAAAAGTATTGCAAGATTCACCAGATAAGCTAAGGCTTATTATCCTGGAAAATACTGTCTTCTATCTGTTCCTTATTTATTCCACTAATCTGACCAAAGGCTTGTTGCTTTTGCCTTTTTGGAGTCTTCTGTTTATCAAAGTGTCAGTGAAATTTGTGTTACTGACTCAACCTTTTTGAAGACTGAAATAGTTTGCCTTGATGACATAGGCTTTTGGGATGTATTCTGGTGGTAATGGGGAAATAATGACTGATTTGTTTACTTCAGAAATCTCAAATTGATCCTGTAGAGTTCTGTAAGAGGCTTTTGGGGGTTTATATAGTACCATACTAAAATAATCCATGGGGCTAAGGCTGCTAGTTTGCCTTCAGATAGCATCAATCTGCACAGTAAACTTGAAAAGCTTGCACCAGTTTAGACCACCAACAGAAACTGCCCATTGATGTTGACTATACTGTACCAGAGATAAACGTGTCCATCCAGGTATTCTCAGATATCCGTTAAAGTGTTTCAGATAAATGTGACAAATAAACATTTGCTGAAAATCATAATTTTCCTAGAATTTACCCTGAAGGATCTCTTATCATTCTTCACTTCCTTTACAGACCTCGTACACAGATGAAAGATCGATTATGATTACAACTGTGACTGAACCAGCTATATGCTGTTGTGAAATGTTTTGGCAAGTGAAACGTTCTGTTTTCAATATGAAGGTAATTTTTGCAGCTCAGAGCAGGTTTTTGAAATACTATCACTATTTTAAGTACAGAAACATGGGACTATTTCTCAGGCCATTTTTGTAGCAGCAAAGGCTATTTTAATATTTTTCTATCCAACGTACTGAAACAATGAGTAGTAATAGTAAAGCTCTTGAACAGATTTCATTAAAAAGAGTTATTAACATGTGTTACTTAAATGGGCTTTATATTATTCTTAAATGTTGCATTCTTGCTCTAGAATTCTGTTTCATGAATAATTGTTTTGATGGCATTTTTTCTTCTCATTAAGCAGAACTTTGGAGCAGGAGAAGGAAACAGAAATAGGAAAAAAGGGACATAGCATATTTATTTATTTTCTCACTTCTAATTTTTGGAACCTCGATGGTGTTCCTTTGGGGGTTTATGGGCTCAGGGCTACAACCTCACGCTTTTGACTAAATTTGGACAACAACTGTTAACAGTTACATTTTGAACTGGATTTTACAAATGTATTTTCTCTATCCTGTGAGTGAAAGTTAGGTGTGACTTGGTATTCATCCAGCATGGGAAGATTTTCAGGCAATTCTTTTCTTAAAAGTGTAGAAGGAAATGTATACAGGTTTTCATATAAATTCTCAGTTAGATACCACAATCAGCATAGTCAGATAACACAATGATCGTACTATGATAGGTACACTTCATGAACCACAAACATATTCTCCCGAAAGCATTATTTAAACGCAGATAAAAATCTTTATTAAAAAAGAAAAAAAAATACTACTTTGATCATGTTCACATCATCTCCTCATTTGCTTTCTAGGTAGATCACTGAGAATATATTTTCCTGGAACTGATTCTTACGAGAAGTTAATTTCAAACTGACCTGTCGCTCTGGAAATGTGCTTTAAAACAGTTAATATGGATAGTTAAGACCAAATGACCTTTCAAACTCACACAGTCCAAGCACAAAACTATAATTTTGGTGATTTAGCTCACCAACTACAAAAACCAATCCATCCTTGAGGACTGATCAGGAATCTGAATGTGAGCATCCCAAAAATTTTCACATAATAGAATCATCGACTACTTCAGAGTTTGTTTCTTTCTGTTACTTGAATCTACCCACAGACATACCTTAAGTGGGATGCCGGCAAATACTTTTTTGCATGAGTAACTTAGGAAA